CTCAAGTATAATGAAGTTAGTTTTATTTTGGCCATTTACAGGGGTACAATGGGAGAATATTTAAGATATTATCTTTTTTTACTAGAAAATGTTAATTCACAAGTAATATATTTTTATTTTCTTGACTCTTTTCTTTCAATTTGTATTGGCTTTATTGATTGGCTATTAATTTCTAAATAATGCTTGTCTAAAAATAATATACATTAAATTATTTTGAAATAAGGTGAAGGTTGTATGTATGTTTACTTATTTAGGTTGTGTGTTTAAACATCAAATTTGGATATCAAATTGATATCTTGGGTCTCGGCCCATCTAATATTGACTATTTCATGAATGAGATGCTGTGTTAGAAATTAATTTCAATGTTTTCAAGCCATTTGGTGACAAACTTTTATTAGTATAATTTTACTAATAATTGAAATGCGATGCTGAATTGTATTGGTATAAACCATTTGCTCATATTCTGTTCTGAAATTGACAATTATTTGGAAAATCATATTTATTATTACTGAAGGTTTCTTTTACTTTCTGTTAGAGGATCATGACATCTGAAAATAAATTATTATAATTTGGGAAGAAACATTTTATTTCTTAAACATTAGAGAAAGTTTTGATAAACTATTCAGAACTAATTACTTGAGTGTATCTTCTTTTATGTTTCATACTTTTTTTTCTTTTACTGTATCTTTGATCCCCTAGTTATTTAAATATGACGATTCTCACTCGTGAGGTGATATAGTATTTTAGACATTAATTATACACATAGTATATATTTATGAATACTGAAAGATATGTATTATTTAAAACAAGTTCTCAACTTCTCAAAATTCGAAATTAACACTAGAAATGCAAAACAATTTAAAAAAGAATGTGGCAAATGTATTTTACACCATTGGTATCAATAAAAGATTTCAAATGTATTATATAGCATTTGAAAAATTAAAGTTTCTGAAAATATAACAACATTATTAATTTACATGCTTGACATATAAAAAAACCTGATGCTTATGAAATGCTTCTCATCAGCACAAAATTCACAATAATCTTTTCATTTTTGCTGTGGATGATAATAGAATTCGTATTTCTGTCACACATTCTGATTTAACATTGTTTTCTTTTCATGGAAGGATGCTGTTGTAGAGCGTCCTTCATGTCCTTTGAAAAGATGCCTCTGTTGCAGATCCTTTTTTAACTTCATCTGATTTGTAGATTTATCATTTATATGATGATTTTGTTTGATCTCTTCTTACATTTTCAGTTCAACTTGTGATATATTCATTAACACTCGATAGGTTCAACCCACATTGTTACTATGACACTTACATGAAATACAATGTTGATCTTTAATTTCATTTGTTGAAATTCACAAACATCAATTCTCTGAAACTTCCCAGATTTTTGTAACAAAGCAATAATCTCCATCACATGGTAGCACAAAACTCTATCAAAAAAAAAAAAAAAAAAAAAAGATTGTCTCTTTCTTCTAGTGTTAAGAGACCATTCTGATCTGTTAATGATATGTGTATTTAACATTCGCATAATTCCAATTAAAATCAGCTGAAATTTTATCGGGCCTCAAAATTATATGCATATCAAGTTCTCTTAAAATGCAAAATAGAAAATATGGAATATTAGCTTCAAATGAGGATAATTTGAGAGAGGGAAAAAGAAAGAAAGAAAAAAAAGAAGAAAAAAAATCCAATTTTTATATCATAAAGTATGATTCCCAAAATTTCAGCAAAATCAAAGATGGTGTATTTTAGGAATGAAATTTTGAAGGAAAAACTAAATGTTTGACCTTTGACCTCATATTTCAGCATGGTCATGTCCAAAACCACTAAGAACAATTTATATCAAAAGCTTATGTATATATACATTTGAAATTATTGAAATGTCTGTTGTTTGTATTAATTATACAACTTAATATAATTTTGTTTCTTATTGCTCTGTGAAATAGGGCAAAAAGAGCTAAATGCTGTTATACAAAATATAAATGAAAACAATGAACTAAAACGAATGAGCACATTTTTATTTTTATATAAAAATGAAAAAGTATGATCGTTTTCAGGTAATTTGGAGAGAGTTGATAAAATTTCAGCCAATTTTTCTTGGAATGACTTATTTATAAATATTTTTATTTATTTTTACATAAAAACTGTTTAATAACTATGAAAAAATTATCAGTGTGTTATCCGTATTACTTAATTCCATTGAGTGCAGAAATTGAATGAAAACAATGCAGTTCATGGTAGAAAGAGTCCATGGTGGACGCTTTCCATCATGGTGCAGTCTCTAGGCATGTGGTAGGTATCCTTGGTTTTGTTAGATACCCGGGAACTTGATGATAATCTGAAAACAATGAAACGGTTTGGATTGTGACCGATATGTATATGTATATTTACCCAACTATCAGTTGACTCTGAAATAAGCTCCCCCCCCTCCAATTTTGAAGAGACTTCCTGAAAGTTTTAAAAATTTTAAACTAATTCTTACAATTTAACCCAAAGAAAGCTTAGCTATCACTATTTTCTTGTTCCTTAAAATCATCGTAATCATTGTTTTTGTCATTACCATCTTCAGCTTCACATATATTGTGCTTCATTCTTTTTCATCCTGCCATATGGTGTTGTCCTCTGACTTTTTAACTAAAAGTTATCGTTGTTGAATATGCGTTCATCTTTCATTTGACACTACCCAATAACATTCCCTTCTGTGTTACTAGATTATCTTTCTGACCCACTCATGATGGTGGCCTCTGATTCTTCAGTATTTCTTTCACATTCTTCAAAAGAATATACTTAAAATTTGCATTTATTTTGTGTAACACAGTTGAGAATTGCGAACACTTACATTTCTGATCCTTTGATGGGCAGGTAAAGTGGGATACAGCGGATAAAAAGATGCTTATCTTCCTTGTGGCTGAATGTAGATTGCTTATTCCTATCATTGTGAAGTTTTTTTGTTTCCATCTCTTGCAAAACTCAAATTTGCACTCACCAGAATTTGAACTGACTATCAGTGCAGTCTCGTCAATCATTGTGTAACAAAATCTCAGCAATGCTTTCTATTCCTTTTCATGACATTTCTCACTTGCCACTCCATGCAATGCTATTGCTCTGAGCTTCTCTCTTCACCGGTCCATTAACAATATATTGTTTCGAATCATTCAGCAAATTTGCAGCAGATGGGAGGAAGTCGCGAGAATATCTCTGCTAATTTGTTTTTATAGTACCTGAGAAATAAGGTATTTTAGGTGCAGGGGCCGTTGATAAATTACGTAACACAAATTTGAAGTATTTTGAGTACCACTTCCCCCCCTCCTGTGTCATGCTCTTGAACTCCCCGTAAAAAAATTACATAACGCTTGCGACAAGAAACCCACCCCCCATTTTCTATAAGTAAAACTAAATTATAAAGCAGAAACAATGAGTTGAATTAATTTTGTGTGATGTATTAAAATTTATGATAATCAAAGTGTGAATTAGTTGGTGATGTGAACTGCACCTGACAATGAAATTTTAGATAATTTTGAATGAAGAACATGCAGATGAAAAAATATCTGACAACAAGTCATGCACACGTCGTCATTGACAGCGCATGAGCACTGAATCTGCTTTGCAATTTAATTGAATTCGAGAATATACTATAGTTCAGTTTTGAGTCTTGTTTTTGTAATTTAACAGATTTAAGAATATACCATTGATCAAAAAGTAATTCCAATTTTTAAACAATTTTTACATCATAACTAATACATTTATATTTTAAAAATTTAATTTGTTCTTATTTTAATCTTTTAGTTTAAGACTGAATAAAAGAAATGATTTCAGTTAATGTTGAAATTTTTTAGAAATATCAGCATTACGTAGCACTAAACAATGACTCCCTACCTGTATATAATGCAGCTACCTCAAATCATGTCTCTCCCTCGTTAGCTTTACATAATTTATGGTCATCACCCAAGTGATATGTTTGTTGTCTTTCCAGGTTATTGTTTTGTCTATGTTTACAAGTTTCACAATTGGAAAGGCGAAGTAAAAAGATAAATCTCTGCAAATATGATGACCCTGTATTTTTCAAATGAGATTTTTGAGAAAAAAAAACAAACTTGTCTTTTATTCAGCTAAATACTGCTACTACTACTTCTTTCTTACAGGATACATTAGATCCACACAGCATTCCTGTATGGAGTCCCTCAATGACCTTCTTGACTTTTATTTATTTAATATCAAAAACAGTTAACACTGTGCGAGTGGGACATACATAGAATTGTAATATGTCCATAGTTTCTTAAGTTTTGGGATGTCCTAACTTCATGTCTGCAAAAATAATTTTATCACTTTTACCTGTTGTTTGCATTATAGTAATTATTATTGGGTTTTTCTTTCAGTTCGTAGGTCCCTCGTAGGTCTCCTAATCCTATCTTTTAAGTAGATGTTCTCCACTTCGCCGTTTGTTTACATTTGTCATGTGAAGAAATTTTCTGTATTTTTGTCATGAATCGTCTCAAATACTGCTTATGTTATTCTGTTTTCTGTATTTTTTTTCATTAGATATCTTTAACAATTAATTCTCAGTAATAATAATAGGGATATCCTTGATTTCTGTGTTTCAAATAATTTGTTGTTGTTTATTGTTGTGAAACAAAAAAAATAATTCCTTGTGATCACTTCTTGCTGGTTATTGACTGTTGTTTAGAACATAGGTATACATTGTTACCCATTTATGCTGCTAACTTGCCATTCCTTCCAACCTACCAAAGGCAATTTTCGTATCACCATTGCTTTCTCAGCACCTTATTTCCAATTCGAGTTTTGTTGCCCTCTTCTCTGTTCTCTTGGCATTGCAATGACTTGCTTAGATCCTATAAATTTATTTTACATATTTTGTGTGCATAAAAGCAGTTATGGTTTTTTATTTGCGTTTTGTATGTTTGCTTTTAAAATTAATGAGGAAATACTGTTTTTAAAATTTGCATGATTTATCATATGGTTTTATTGCAGTGTTATGGTGTGGATGTGAAACAGAAGAATTGAATATTTTAACATATCGCTACCTTTCTCTGCGAGTTGAAAAGTGACAAAAACAACAGAAGTGTCATTTTTGCCTGTGACTAGTGTGACTGAATGGAAGATTCTTTGTATGTTTATTCCTGCATTTTCAGTGTGAATTATGATGTTTAAATGTCGTCCTGAGTTGCAAGATTAATTATTTGCTATGATTGTGTTAAATTTTATATAGCTCTTTTGCAGCAAAAGAACTGAAAGAAAGCTTATATTTGTTCTAATGACAATGTATCCACTTTGATAATGGTCAAATGTACAGAAACAGATATATTATGTGAAGTTGCTACTAAAGAGAAACTTGTTAAAGTAGAAATGCACTCGTATTGAACATTGTGATAGAAATGCAGACTAAACTTGTGTGCTCAATGCAAGAGTAAGTTGAATTTTAGTGCTCATGCTGCTACTCAGAGGGTATTGAAGAATTTCAGTTCAGTACCCTGATGAGATTTTTGAACTCCCTAGTTCAGCCTGTACAATCAAGATGAAGAGACAAAATTATAAGATACTAATTGATGAACAATTGAGTTATACAATAATTACACAATAGTAATTGTGTAATTTATTTCAATAACTGGATCATGTATAGTGAACTCAAGATAACCAGAAAAAATATAATTATTAACCAGTTAATAAAACTGTGTTTTAAATAATTGTTCTTTTTGTTAGATATTAGAGAAATAATACTCGGTTACAAAGCAGTAAATGAAATAATCTTACCTGGTGAGTCAATTTGATTTTGCATAAAATGAAAAGTTACGATCTATAAAAAGGGTGTATTATTTACTGATGCATGAAGTCTGTAGCAAAGAGTATATAATATTTGTAATTTTGTGTTTGTAAAATAAATTGAGTTTCAATGTCTCTTCATCATTTTTACCTGTTTGGTAGTTTATTTTGCACCATTTTTTCCTTATCATAACAGATGTGGGAAAGGTTCTGCACTAATAGACATACAAATCTTGTTTTATGTTTGTTATGTATATGTTTTAATTTGTGATGTAGAGAGTTGAATAAAGTGATGAGTTTGTCCTGATGGTTATATTTCTATATTCCTTTTCTGTATTTGATAGATTTAAACTTTTGAGTGGTTGAGTAGACTATGTATCAGTGTGATACTCATGGTGGAGGCTAATAGCTCACTTATGTTCTGTTATGTTAGAGGCTATAATTATCTTGTTGATGAGATCTTTTTAGATCAGAAGAGGAATATTATGGCTTTACTTTTTTTATAAAAATTTGGTGGAGGCTAATGGCTCACTTTAAAAGTTCTATTATGTTAGAAGACATAATTATCTTGTTGATGGTAACTTTTGAGATCAGAGGAGGGATATTTTGGCTTTACTTTCTTTTATAAAAATTCAAAGGCATGTAGATGTACACATTCTATATTCTTTTAAACCTGAATACACATTATGGCAGTTTGAAAATAGTCCAACAACAGTACTTAATAATTTCTAGCTTATATACTCACAGGATTATAACATGGTATATCTATTTATATTTCTTGCTACAGTGTTAACAAAAATTTAATGATGTTAGAGCAGTTTCATTTACAATCAATTTTCCCAAATGAAGTCTCTGGTTATGAATAGCAGGATATATCCATTTAATATTTTGATGATGGCTTTATCCATACTTCTCAATCATTTATTAGTAACGGACCCTATTGTTTAAAAAGTTTTCCATTGATTACTATGATTTAACATGAACATAACTTCCATAATGTACTTTTCATACTCCATCTCTCAAACTGTACAATAACATTGAAGTTTGGCATAACAGATTTATTGAAACATTCACTACACAGAAATAAACAATCACTCCTGCAAGATACCTATTTTTCTATCAGTCCTTGCATGCCCTACACCAATCACATGGTTCAAAGGCATTTCATTCTAAGAGGGCTTATAAACACTTTATAACAATATATCATCTCTTATTATCCTGGAAGGTAATTGAGATTGAAATTATCATTTTAAGACCATTTGATGCAACAGACGAGCTACTTTTAACACATGTTCACAAGAATTTCCCCTTGGATTAACTGGTTGCAGGAATTGAAAATTAATTTGGACATTTTGGCCAATTTAATTGATTTTATGGATTTTTTCCTGTATTTTGACTGAATATTATTTCAGCTCATTAATTGTGGTCATTTTGTTTGATAGGAGTGGTTGTGCTGCAGCAATGCTTTTTTAACTGCCATTATTGTGGTAGGGATTTGCATGATAATATTTCTCTTGCCCAGATACCACTCCGATATCAACATATATTGATATATTTTAGAAATTACTTTTCATTTCTGTGGAAATGTTCAGAAGATTGAGAAGACTTTCCATATGTTTACACATCTAAAATCACTACATCTTTGTGGATATGATAGAGTACATATGAAACAGTAACATTTCAATTTCTTTATTGTTTCTTCTATGACCCTATATTTTGAAAGAAAATAATGTAAAAGCAAATTGGAACACTGTGATAAGCTATTCAAAGGCACTTTATTTGAAACAAATTATGTTAATAAATATAATACTAACCTTTTTAAAAAATCAATAGAAAAGAAATATTGCCTCTTTATGTGAATTGCTATTGAAACTGATGATTTTGTATTCAAAATGCAGGGTAGCAGAAGAAAATAAAGTACTGAAGGTTATATAGTTATTGCTTTAGTTGCTTTTCACATGAAATTGCATGTTAACATCTAATCATTGTTTCAAAGCATAGACATTCACCACAGCAAAACTCATTCCTACTTGGTTTCTTTGTTTTATACCTTATATACAAACATTTTCTCGTACTGATCTCCACAGGTTTAATACAGTTGACAAAATTGTTTACGATAAAGCCTATCATTTTTAAAATTATAACACTCAAAATAGTTCTTTGAAAATAATTTTTAAAATATATATCATAGAATTTTTACCTTTTCTAATGTCTTAAATTAATTTTCAATAAAGCCACTTGGTTATAGTCCTTAAATTTTAAAATATTTTCATATACATTTATAATACTTCTTAGTGGAAGACAATGGATTTTTATTTATCTTTCATTCTTACCCATCTGTGTGTGTATGTGCAAATATCTATTAGTGGAATTTATAGAATCTTGGGCGGTTAGATTTTGAATTAAGTACTGAACGGAACTTCTTAAAAAATGAATGTACCCATTGCTCCACTACCACATTTTACACTGAGAGAAGTTTACACAACAATATTGCTAGTTCCTTACACAGTTACATACAAGATGACATACAATATATCCCTTGGCATATTCATTAATTAACATCTTACTAGATAAGCATCTTTTTTAAATTTTATCTGAACAGGAATTTTTGTCTTTCACTTAAATTGTATACTTAATATTCTTAGGAAATTGAAAACATTTAAAACATGGTTTAAAAATACAACCAAGAAAAAAAAATTCTTTGGGGATATTTGATGAATCAAAATCGGAATATAATGAAACAAGTTTATGAAAGAAGAATAATGTTTTCACTAGAAGAAAACAAAGCAGAAGTATTAAATAGAAAATACTACATTGAGAATACACTCTGAAGAATAATAAATATTTCACATAAGGTTTTGAAAAATTCACATCTATGTCATATTTGCAACACATTTTTGAAGATGAATTGAACAAGTATAAGTAAGCAACAAACAAAAAAAGAACTACTAGCAAATCCAAGAAATTGCATTTGTAATAAACAAGAGAATTAGAAAGAGACTAAAACCAAGGAAATAAATGTCAATTTGGTGAAGAGAAACCTATACTATTATGCCAGTTGAATGAAGTAGTTCATAGTACAATGACTGAAAGCTCAATGGAATCATTGGCAGAAACATGATAATAAGAAAACCTGTCCTAGAGTGTTTAAAGGTTTCTAGATCCTAACGATCTAGACTGAATTAAAAACAATTCCTTTGATTTATACTACCTTTTGTAAATAAAAGTACCCAAAAAGCAAATTTCTAACATTCATATATTTCTTTTAATTTTTGTTGTAAACAAAGAATTTTGAATGTACAAATTTATTAATGATAATAAATATATCAGTTTGGAGTCATAATCAACTTATATATTTATGAGGATGATATTTGAGAAATAAATGAAAAAACTCCTGTTCAGTTATTGCATTATTATAAAAATCTATTAGATACATTTATATATTTTTTCAAACAAGCATTTTGATTTGTAAAACATTTCAATTCATGAAATTTATAGTCTCATTAACTTGACTATTGTCAACAGTAACATGTGCAGCATTGCAATCATTATATCAGTCCAGTTTCTTTGGAAGACTTCTTGTAGATAATACGTGTTGCTACACTTACAAGAAATAACAATATTCACTTTCAACATCTGAATGCAGAAAATGGAAGACTTCAATACATAAGATAAATGTCCTTGGAAGACTTGAGTTGCTGTTATTTTACAGTAGATCAGTTTCAGTTACAACTGCATTTCGAAAGAGGTTTTATATTTTGAAAAACCACTGTCGTTTATTGTAAGATCAAAACTTACTTCAAGATTTTGCAAGCTTTTGCAATTCTATGGAAGACTTATGAAACAATATAGCATCATAGATCACAGATGAAATGTAGTCGTTTCTTAATTTCCCAGATATTTCTCTACGAAGAGAATTACAAGAAGAATAAATATTTGTTTATTTCAGTTCATGATTTTCACATTGTACATTTGTTAATGTGTATCTTTGAGTTGAACATAATTTCTTTTCACATATTCAGTGACCAGTTTTGAGTAAATGGACAATTGTGCATTAATTTGCCTTAGTATGCATTTTTGTAAATATATTTATATCATCAATATATTTATCTTACTCTCAGGAGGCTAAGAAGACATCAAAATGTAATATAGCATAATAAAATTATATTTGTTTTGATACTTGTGAGTATATCTTTGATTCTTTTATCTAAAAAAGAATGCAATTGGAAGACCATTTACGGATTTATAGTGTTTTAAATCTGTATTTGGAAGACATACGGATTTTTAATACAAGTCTGTATATCAGCCCCCGTAGTAACATTCAACCGCAAATTTTGAAGATTTGGATTGGATTTTGTGGCGTTCACTTACAGTATTCTAAAATGTAAACATCTTAAAAATTATTGCTGTTTCAATTTTTTCGATTATTGACTGCATTGTAGCGTAAGGTGTTACTAAAGGTGTTTCGCGTAGCTGTTACATTTTGTTCCTTGCCGTACGACGCATGAACCTACGATCATTCTAGAGATTACTACGTTCCTTGGGAGCGAGAGCGCGCTGCTGGACCGGTTGCAGCGAGGGCGCTGGCGTCCGAAGCGGCGTGAGAGCGAAGTGCGTCTAGAAGGGCAGGCCGATCTCGAAGGCTTTGATGAGCGCGGAGCCCGAGTCGTAGACACCGATGATGCAGAAGAGCACGCCGAGGAAGATGACGAAGCAGTCGTACGCCACCGTGCCCCAGTCGAGGGACGGCCGTTTGAGCTTGAGGTGGAAGTAGCAGGGCCAGATGAAGGAGAGCATGGTGCCGGTGAAGCTGCCGATGAAGCCCATGAGGATGGCGAAGTGCGGGATGGAGATGGCCATGAGCACTGTGACCACCACCACGCCCACCCGGAACGCCAGACCCCACACCTTAAGCTCGCCGTCCAGCGCCCAGATGGTGGGGAAGATGGTGTCGGGCCGGCCCTTGAACAGGGCTTTCTCCAGCAGCTCGCACGCGGCGTAGTAGGGCAGCGGGTACGACAGCACCGCCTTCACCACCAGGAAAAAGTTGACGAAACCCTTGAAGCCCGGCGAATGGAGGTTGTTGGTGATAACCTGCGGGAGAGGAGAGAACGTTGTCGTGTATGAGCCCAGCGCTTGAATTGTGAAAAAAGCGACCATAATATAACGAGCGATTTCCCTTCGAAAGAAAAAAAACAACCTTGATGTCTTTGTAACACACTATACTACCTGACTAGAAAGGAAAGCTTTAGAGGTGAATTTTCGATTTATCTATTATTTATTTAGCTGAATATTGCTGTGAATAGTTACGAAGCTCTTAATTTAGTCGTGTTTTTAGTAACTAATTTCAGGTGAGCCACTAATTCCAAATTACTGACATGCGTCGCTGAAGTGTTGGCAGTAGAAACTCATTTTTTGCTTTATTCTAAAGTTCTCAGTACCTTATTTACAAAAATATGACTACCTTCCTTTCGTAAATATACCATGCTACTAGATATCACTGGCAATCTAGAGATATTACTTTCATGGTTAATGTAGCGTCATTGCGGAATTCTGGAAGGGTTTACTGTTTGGTGGACGTTGCAAATGTAGGGCCGAACATAGACCTGTGCAGCCTAAAACAACAGGGGGCAACTACATTTCTACAAAAAATGTTGACGCTCTTAGATTTTGTAGTGTAAATGGCGCTAACACGGGCCATGTAGCCACGTACCTGCTGAGTGTCGTTCTGGAACGTGAGGAAGCAAAGGTACCCAAAGAGCGACTTGAAGGCGGCCGCGGCCACGTGGCTCCAGTTGAGCATCCAGTCGAACTTGGAGCGATCGATGAGGTTGCCTTCCAGGCTGGGCAGGAAGATCTGGGACGTGTAGCTGAACACAATGACGCCCAGCGAGATGGGGAAGTTCTCCATGTCGATGGACCACTTGACCTTGGACCATCCCCAATCGCCGATCTCGAGCAGGCAATAGCCCAGAATGACGGCGTTGATCACCAAGTGGGACATGGTGCACCAGAAGCTGAGCAGCGACACCATGTGCAGCGACTTGAGGAAGCCCAGCGGGATGAGGAAGATGCCGATGAGCATCATCCAGGAGCGGGTGTCGATGGCGCCCTCGGGGAACGTGCCCTTCATGAGGTCGCCGCACACCACCACGTACAGGATGCACGTCATGAGCAGCTCGATGAGCTGCGCCACGTTGACGGCGCGCGCGCCCCACCGCGGCCCGAAGCACTCGCGCGCGATGCCCACGTACGAGTCGCGCACGCGCACGCGCCGCCCGGTCTCCAGGTCCAGCTCGTACAGGCACTCCACCAGGATCTTGCCCGTGTAGCAGCAGATGTACGCGATGCCGATCATGGCGGCGATGGCCCAGTAGCCGCCGCGCAGCACGGCGAACGGCAGCGACACGATGAACATGCCCTGCGACAGAGCGCGCCCCGCCCCGCCCCGCCGCGCCTCGTGAGACACGCCTCGCAACTGCCCGGCCGATTATTATTGAAACAGAGTGACTTGGGACGCGGTTATCCAATCGGCAGCTTCTGTACCAGTAATTAAGTCGCAACGCAGCTCCCGTTTGGACAAACGCGCCCAAGTCAAAAATCATCAACTTTTAAATTGAAGTAGCAGCGTTCCGTAAAGTCATATTGTAAACTGAAAGCTCAGAAAAGGGTAGAGAATTTAGAAGCGAGTGGGTGTCTACAGTGATCCAGAGTGTTTGTGAACTCACTTGGGATATTGTAATGGTTTCAATCAATTCAATGATTTCGAAGATTTATAATGCTGTCAATCGTTTACCAAAGCTGTAGTGAATTCGATCTCCACAGCGCCTTTGAGGTAGGCTTTGCAATTTATTGTGTTTTCTATGCGATTTATTAAGGTTATTTACATCATTAAGCATTAAGTAAAAATTATTTTGCTTCGCGAATCGGCCATCATGGAGCCATGCGATACGTGCATCCTAACGGGGCTGAGACTTGATTATCGGAGTAGGTGTTCGTTACTTTTTCTATAGGGGGAATAATAATTTCAATGCTGACTTCATTTTTATACTCCAGAGTTGTTAACCTTGGAGGATGAAATGAAATGGTGATGATGATGAATTATGAAATAGACACACACAAACATACAGAAACACACAACACAACTATACCCGAGGCGGGACTCGAGCCCGCGATCTTCTGGTCTGTTCCGCTACAGAACTACTGTCTTTATGATCTTGACCATCGGATCGCCAGAATAGTTTGTATTAAGGTTGTATTCTATTTTTTTAAATTTCTTATCGGTCTCACCAGCTGGAAAATTCGGTTAATATGTACATGTGCATATAATGCATCACGCGAATAAGACTTTTACCTATAATGCCTTACTCGTGTTCTGAGCCTCGTCGCAGAGGGAATTATAAATACGAACATCGAAATTGTACGGACTTAAGGATGTAACAATTCGCTCGGAATTGCATAAAATGGTTACATACAATACAATGCAATATAAAAGGTCTCTCGGCGCCGGCTGTATCCGCTGTTCCTAGCCCACAGGCTCCTCCGGTTCAAAGACACAAAACGAAGTACAAACTACGCCCACCAACCGACTTGTTTAACATGTTCTAAAACACTTGAGCATTGCCATATGCTGCAACGCTTCATGAACTGTGTTCTTTCTCCAACCAGGGTACGAATTTATTTCATTTATTTTGTTAAAGAAGAGTAATGAGACTATGTGTGACACTGTTGACACTGTACGTGACTAATGGGGGAGAAGGGCCGACCCGGGATGGGTATCTTGAAACCGTCTCTAAATAGTTCGATGACCCTGATGGGAAAATTATTATTTTCACCATGACAGGGATAGATAAAATGATTAGTGATTCTGTGGGAGTCAATGACTAATTAGTACCGTAAGTGCAGTACATGTTTTATAACGGAGGAGGGAGAGGAGGTAGTGATATGATCTTCCCCCGCTGGATGACTAGAGCCGGCGACGACCTACCCGCCAACTTGCAGAATTTGTAAGTGTGTGTTGCGAAGAGGTGAGGTTAAGGCAAGGAAGTGGAAGGAAAGGGGATAGTTTTCACGAGTGTTTTGTATGTTCTGATGTTAAAAATAATGTATTGAAATTAATTGAAATAATAATAGTAACAATAGATTCGTTCGTGAAATAAATGCAAATCATGTCTACATGTTACTGATCGACCATGCCCCGTGCCCAAAAATTATTTCCGACCAATTTCTCTTTTGTCAGGTTTTTCTAAAATATTAAAGAGGATTTACAATACGCGAATGGAAATTTTTCTCAAAAAAAAAACAACAACAAAAAACAAAAACGAAGCGTTTTCAGTCTCACAACACTGGTTTAGAAAATCAAAATCTACGGAAACTGCCATTTTTGCTTTCATTAATGATGTTGCTTCATCAATGGACCAAAATGAAGCACCCATTGGAATATTTTTAGATCTTTCGAAAGCTGTTGACGTTATTGACCATAACATCTTGCTATCAAAATTACCTTCTTATGGAAGGATCTTCTCTTCATTCTTCGTGGTATCGCCCTAGATTGGATAACTTCATGCCTTAAACATCGACCTCATAGAGTAGAAATACCGTACTGGCACGAAATGACATTATTTACTTGTCTTTCCCATTCTTTACCAATCGAATATGGGGTTCCGTAAGGCTCGATCTTAGGTCCTATCCTCTTTCTGTTATACGTAAACGATATGCCGTCGTCTATTAAAAACGGAAGAACTGTTCTTTTTGCCGATGACACGAATGTTCTTTGCAAAAAAGAAACAATAAATAGTACGATTTTAGAAGTTCCAAATTGGTTTTGTAATAACAAATTAATAGTTAATGAAGGAAAAACAGTTTCAATTCATTTTTGCATTTCAAATTAGCAACCGCATTCTCCAGTGAAATAATATGAAATTAGGTGATGTTCAGGTAACGAAATTTCTAGGTTTGTCAATTCAGTCAAACCTCAAATGGAATGTACATATAACATAATTAAACACTAAATTAAGTTAATTATGTTACGCATTCAGAATTCTATCACATTCTGTCAGCCTTCATGTAGCTCCTTGCGTGTATTTTGCAAATGTACATTCCCGCCTGAGATAAGGTTTAAAATTCTGGGGAAACTCATCATGTAGCTCTCAGACCTTTAGATTGCAAAATAAAATTATTCGAATAATGAAAAAATGCCATCCGCGTAATCCTTGCAAGCCTCTCTTCATTGAGCTTGAAATCTTACCACTGCCTTGCCTATTTATTTACGAATATGTAATATTTGTCAAAACTGGCTTACTTAGCGGTACATATTTTCATGCAATATTGATATTTTAATTACAACACACGTCGTAAAAATCACGTTCATCAAGTGTCAGTATCAACAGATCACTATCAGAAAACCACATACAATACATGTACGTTATTTTACAACGCACTGTCAGACTTACAGAAGGAAGAAAGAGCACTTTTTGATGTCAATAAAGTTCAGTTGGCTTAGTGTGGGCATTCTACACTTTGTACATAATAGTACTAAATTTTTAATTGTAATATTTTTCTGAAAGCCCCTTATGAAAACCTCCCATGTGGTTCTTACCACATACAATATATTCTGTTATCAATAAATTGTAAAGGCCTAATTGGAGGTTTTTTATTTTCTATTTTAAGACCACAATTTCTAGTTTTCGTTGGAAATTTTCTTATCAAAATATAGAACAAGAAAATTCTGAATCATTGATACCAAAATGCAAAAATCGCTAATTCCGACACATATCAGGTTGTTCATCACCAACAACGATATATGTGTTCTTTGCAATACAGTGTTCTGAATTCATTCGCCGGCTTTCACCTTTTTGCTAAAAGAAGAAAGAAAGAATCGGCATAATATGCGTTCGAAACTATGCTTTGGGCAGGCTCAGAGATGTTTCATGTTAATCGCGCAGTTCGAAGGCCGAAGCCTCGTCATCCACCCGCACTCGCCTAGCGAAGCCTCCAGGTGAGAGCTGCATGGTTGAAGGTTATAAATGCTGGGCCGTGATTCTCGCTGGGAAGCGCGATAAAGGAATACCCGCGATGTACGCCGTGTTGTCGAGGAAGAGAGCTGATTCCTTCTCGCTCGTAACGAGAAGGGATAAGAGTCGAACAACTTTTACCCGTCTGATTTTGACGTGTCCGGACTGCCCCAACGGATATCTGTTTTGTCATGATTTACCGCGTCTCGTTTTTTTCAGATCAGCGAAACACTGATATGAAAATCGTCCGTCTCGGCCCAGCCGACCTATTGCGCGCCTTTGTTCGGGCGAGGGTCTCCTCTGTCTGAGCGTCGGTACATCGTTTCTGGGGATGTATACTCCGATTTAAACTAGTGTCACACTGTCCTTCCAGCTCGTGACCTTGAAGGGACACTACATTTTAAATCGGAGTATAGAGCAGGGCTGCCCAAATGCATGATTTCAGGTGTCAGAGCCTGCGTACGCTCGCTGCAGTGAACGGCGTACTTTTCTACTGGACTCCTTTTCACCTTTCCCCTCCTTTTATCAATGTGAACAGCGCCTCCTCTCCCTTCCCGTCTGATACAAGCCACATCGCGGTGGTCCGCACGTAAAAACTATGCCAGGACATCCCGAATGCTCCACCCCCTCGAGCAGCAGTGTGGTAGAGGATTGTACTCAAACGGTTTCGCGCATAGAACTTGAGAATAATGACAACTACAACCACTTATACTGAAATCAGAGACCGGAGAGATTGGTTCCGCGCAGGGATGTGCTTACAAATGTGTTCGCTCGGGCGGGTAAAATGAAATGGGTAAAAGCAGTGGCGTCCAAGAGGTGGGAAGGGGGGCAGCTAGGGCAATTTGTCTCAGCTCCCGACTTAATTGGGACTCGTATTTTTTTGAATGAAAATAAATAAAAATTGTATTTCTAATCTGAATTAACCGCTTCAAATAACCTACGAACTTTTTTGTATAGGTTATTTGTGTCGCTTAAAGAAATGAATTCTGTGTGTGAAGGAGGTCGGAAATTTTGTTTTAAATAAGGGGGCCCCGGGTCTATTGTCCCAGGAATGAGGTTTTCTTTGGGTACCAATAAGTAAGAGTGGCGAGTACGATCCCCTTTGCGTTGGAAATTTCAGTATCTTCTAATTGTCAAATCGTGCATGCTTACACGATACTCATTCGCCGGACGAAGGAACCGACCTAAATTAGCCCAGAGGTGTTTCAGCTGGGTAGGGGAGATTGCGGAGGAGGAAAAATATGTATATTCTGTACCGTTCGGCGCACACGAGAATTCGCATAACTCTAAACTCTTGATGGAATGGAACATCGAGTGAATGTAGTTGATGTCGACTCTTTTTAGTACACATTCCTCGCGGTGATACTGTAAAGAGGACAGAATATTTGTAATTGTTGAAGGTGAAAAT